GGCTTTACGTTGAATTTTAAAAACACGTGAGGCCGTGGCTGCGTGTCCCCATACTAGAATGGCATAAGACATTTTTGCATGTACCAATGCATGATATGCAGTTAGTAATACTGTCTGTGATACAATAAATTTAAGATTGCGTAATACGTATAAGCCCGTGGACATGTTGTGGACTTTTGCGATTGCCCAACTCGTGCTACGCACTCGTTGGGCAAATTTCGCATGCGTACGTTAATAAAGCTCTTATCCCACTTATATCGTAAATAACTATTATGCTTATCATCACATGCACTTATTAGCCTCCAATAACCACTAATAAAATTATTGTGTATTTTGCTTTTAACTGGGCTGTGGCTGTATGTACAGCCCAGTTTTAAGCAAAATACACAATATGCCCACCAGACTTTCAGCCATTTCAAAGGCTATATTTGAGTGAGTCGATTTAAACCAATTTATGCTTATCATCACAGGCACTTACACTGTTTAAAATATCTGTGGTGTAAAAAGTAATCTTAAAATGGTGTCAAAATCCAACACCAAGTGGTGTTAATATAACACCATGAATTATGGTTGAAAATGTGTACCGATCGCGGCAAAGGCGGTGTGGATCACGTGATGTTCTTAAATCTCGCCTCTGTTGACTTACATGAAGAATATATAAACTCAGGTAATCCTTTGCTTTGGTGTGACACTACAAGTTGTTCGATACTAAAGAGACCTTAAATAGGTGGAAACAGCTGTCAATACTTGAAGTATTTTAAGTTAGCGGAAAGCACTAAAAACATTATCTCTAGGGAGTTGAAGGTTCCATTTTCTTGAATAATACCACTGGTAATATACTAGTAATGCGTCAAGGAACTTTCTGTTTCCTTTTTTTCCTTTTTTCTGTGTAGTATGATTTAATTTGACCACAAACACATAATATTTAACACTGAAAAGGAGTTCAATTTACACCAGGTAAAATTTATTTTAATACTGTGTGAAAGTTAAATTAACACCATTTTAGTATTTGAATTTACACCGGCCAACGAACCATATTTAACACCATTTTGGTTTGTATCGATATAGACCATGTATGGTGTTAATTTGGTGTTAAAATGGTCATGAAATTTTGAACAGTGTATTAGTCTCCAATAATCATGAATAAAATTATTGTGTACTTTTCTTTTAGCTGGGCTGTGGATGTATATGTACACCTGCGACTAAATCAATATACTAACCATTTATTTCGAAAAAGCGTATTACATCTTTAAAATAACTCGACAGCCTTGAATTGACTTCTAATTCATTCTGAATAAAAATATAAAATATAAAAACCACATACTATGCGTCGAAAATTAACTATAGATATACCCATTTATATATTTTTTAAATTAAGAAAACATAATCAAATGTACAAAAAATTAATTAAATGACTAAAATACATACTTTTCATAAACTTTATATTTAGACAAAATAAAACCTAGGTATTAAATCCTAAATTTGACTTAACTGCATATAATTAAACTGAAAAAATCATGTTAACTTTTACAATCACCTAAAAAACCTATTTACTATTTTTTACCTCTAAAAAGTTATATGAATCGGAAAATTTTCGTATGTGGGTTATTCTCAAAATAACTACAATCTTTGCGTGACGTGTTTTTTTCTCCCATATTAAAAAAAAATGGTAAAAATAAGTAACATTTTTAAAGTACACAACGTTAGCTAACAGTACTTTAAGTAAAAAAAAAAATAAGAAAAAAAAATACCGCCCAAAAAACTGATCTGAATAGAGATATTGTCCTTTCCGTGGAACGTGACTATATCGTGTTGGTAAGTTTCAGTTAATGTAGTGAAAAGCCTGCATATTAAAAAAACCTAAAAAATTGCCATTATTATTAAATACCCCAAAAATACATAGATATGGTTCATATTCCTTTTTATTCTTTTAAATTTAATATTGTAGTTTAGTCATTACCAGTTTCGATCCATTCCGAGGACTTATTTGTAAGTGCAAAATTTCAAAAGTATTTCGCGCCACTCACGTCAACCGTTAATTTTATGTCATTAAAAAACCTGTCGTTTGTTATTTAAGTCGCCCTTGTCAGTTCTTTTTTGAAAGGTTGTAAAGAAGCGTTCATGTTTATGTACGAGGCTCCAGTGTAGAAGCATAGGCTGTCCTTTCTGTTACAATTATATTTCAAACAGTAAGTATTGAATTATTTTCTAATTATTGTTATTATTATTGTCAAAGTTTTTATTTTTGGCACATGACAAATGCGAAGGCATAACCTAAAATTTACCTTTCTTATAGAGAATAATATACATAGATGTCCATTCAGTGGACGTCTTTTCTGTGGACATAATTTACCCATAAATAGAAAAATTAAGGTTTGCATGCAATATCAATCTTATTTTAGTTTAGGATTTAACTAAAGCTTTACAAAAATGCTCTTGTAATAATATTACCAAACTTTTTAGTAATAAAAAAATAATAAACCGAAAGTGTAGTTATTTTGAGAATCACCCATGTGTATAAAATAAAGGAATAAAATAAGGAATAAATTAACGACTTATGGCGTTTAAATGGATCGCAGCAGACTTCACCAAAAATGTTGGTAAAATAATATAGATACTTTAATTTGTACAAGATTCAATCGCGAAAAATATTTTTTCAGAAATCGGCAGTAAAGTAGTCAACAATCGGCAGTAAAGTAAAACAAATCGGCAGTAAAGTAGAACTTTACGTTTTTAATAAAAATAATAAGTTAATTTTATTAATTAGATTAAAAAATCGCCGCGGTCGGCAAATATATAATAACCGTCGTAACAAACAGTATATATACTGTACGTAACCATACATTCAAATGAAATTTTATTTGATCAACAAATGACATTTGATTTAATCATCAATATTAATTATTAGTATTATTAAATGTGATTTCGGATAAAATTTAATATGCACCTCGGCATTAAAGTGATTTTTATCACTCATGTGGTTATTTGCGTCGGCTTTCGCCTCGGCAAATAATTACGACTTTACTGCCTTGATACATAAATAACTATTTATGGCATTTTTCATTAATTAATTTTCCAACGGAACTATCCATTTTGGACACTTCAAACAATTTGACACTTTTAAATGACAGAAATTGGTGTGTAAACTGTTTTTAGAAAATTATGCACAATTTAATAATTTTTTATTTTAGTTTTTGATTATTTACAAAATTTAAAAAATTAGTATGTTGAGAGTAAGTAGGTTAGTTTTTATGAATATGTAAAAATTTCAATATCTTAAAAATATTTTAATTATTAAAACAAAATCTTAAAAATTGGCTCTTGGGAATTAGAAGTCAATTCAAGTCTTGCTACCGAGTTTTTTATAAAATATATATTTAATATAATATTATGGATTTATATTAATATAATCCACATTATAATAATAAAATTAATAATATTATAGACCATATTATGGATTTAGTCAGGTGGGCATATTGTGTATTTTGCTTATAGCTGGGCTGTAGATGATACAGCCACAGCCCAGTTAAAAGTGCATGTGATGATAAGCATAAATTGGTTTAAATCGACTTACTCAAACTTAGCCTTTTTAAACCATGAAATGGCTGAAAATAGTGATTTTTCAAAAACATGAATTTTTATTATATTTTTTTGAACTCTTAGCCAATATTATTTGAAAATGTTTTCATTGCTTTTATATAGAGTACACTGAGAGAAAAAATGTTGTAGAATCATTCACCACCGGCCTCGGTGGTGTAGTGGTCAGAGCTCCTGGGTACGAGCCGAGAGGTCGTGGGTTCGAATCCCACTTGGGTATGGTTGTTTATTTGTGTTTGTTCATTGTGTATAGTCCTTCGGAGGGGACTTTAAGCCGTCGGTCCGTTCCTACCCCTAACCCGCACAAGCCATTCAGTTGGCTTATGGGACATCTTAGTTTGGATGTAAGGGTGGAACTAAAAGAGCACAAAAAAAAAAAAAAAAAAAACGATAATAATTCAAAGGGATTCAAATATGTTTTGGCGTCATTGGTGTGTCCCATTAAATTAATAGGTGTATAACAATTTATACTACATATCTTTTTAAAACAACGTTGAGAAAGGCAATGAAATAAATAGATTTCTTTCTATATTTTAAAGAGGGTACACTTTAAAAGTGTTTAAAAGTATTGTAAAACTGTTGGTATGAATATAAAACTACAAATTTTTCTATTTGAATCAAATTTACCCGATTATTTAAATTAATATAATTTTATATGCTTTTCATGGCATGATATTTCTCTGAGTGTAAGGTCTTTGGTAACAAACTCCATTAAAAAAATTTTGCTGGCAAGTTGTTCTAAGAATATATGAATTTATAAAATTAGACAATTTTGCCAAAAAATTGCATTTTTTTAAAAATTCCCAAAGACCATTTAGGGCATCAATAACTAAATGTGTCCTATATGGTTTAAAAGAGAAATATTTTCTTAACAATTAACAGTTTGTTTAATGTCGATAGCTTTATTAGCAAAAGAAGTACAATTTTTTAAAGTTAGGTCTGCACAGTAACTTTTGTATAGCCCTGTATAAATAGGTGAAGGTGGAAGAAAAGAAAAGGTGAGTTTTTTTACTCCTTGGGTCCTTTCTATTTACAGTTAAAAAAGAAATTAAATTAGAGGATATAAGGTGCACTCATTGGTGGCATTTTGTAAGTATACTAAATTTATAAATTTAATTGGGCCCACAAAAAATTTACAATTATCAGTAACGTACCTAGTTCTAGAGTTTTTTAACTAAAAACATGTGTAGACTACACATTGTGTATTATTGTATTGTATTGTGTATTTATATACCAGTCAAACCTGGAAATTTTTATGTATGTGAAGCATAAAATGTTTATTCTTAAACAATTTTTGCATAAACTGATAGAACATCAGAATATATAAGATAAAAAAATGTCTACTTAACTAGAATCTATACATTTATTTAATGGAGTTGTTACATAATTTACTTTGATTTTAGAATCCTGGAGATATGGTTACCAGGAACCGGAAACCGACTCGGACTGAGACGGTAGGATGTACACCACACAGAAAAAACTCTATCGTACGGTCAATAGCAGTCTTATTTTTGGATGTGTTCACTTTGTTTCAAGCACAATAATATTCTTGTTAATTAAAAATAATTGCCGCAAGTTAAAATCTTCTTCTTCTTCTTCAGATATTGGCCTTTAATCTATTTCTGAATTTAAAATCTAAAATTGTCTTAAATATAAACTTATTATTGGCTTTTTAACATAACTAAGTTTTTTTGAAATAAAACGTTTAGTTTATTAAATAACAAGACAATCATTGAAAACTAATAAAATACTATTGTTTAAATTTCAATAAACTAATAAAATACTATTGTTTAAAAATTTGAAGGATTATTACATTTTGTTTGAATAATAAATATACTTATTGTTGCTTACATGTAAATTGCAATTTTGTATTTTAAAAAATAGCATATTTTAGACAAATAACACTGTGCGACAAATTTTGACCTTACAATTTGAACTGGGATGAAATGTGGAAAAATCGAATCTATGTAACCCCCAAAACTAATCTTTAAAGGGGTTTTGCTAGTTTAGCTTGAATAATGGAGATATATAAAAGCCGCTAGAACTTAAAAATTCATTTTTACATACATTACCTGTTATTTAAAGTATAACAAAGGGTCGGTTTTCTTTAAAAAAAAAGTGGGGTGGCTGGGGGTGAATATGTAAAAAAATAAAAATTTCAAAATCAACTGAAAATTGCTTCATATATATATATATATATATATATATATATATATATATATATATATCTCCATTATTCGAGCTAAACTAATCTTTAAAGGGGTTTTGCTAGTTTAGCTCGAATAATGGAGATATATAAAAATTTCAAAATCAACTGAAAATTGCTTCATATATATATAATATCTCCATTATTCGAGCTAAACTAATCTTTAAAGGGGTTTTGCTAGTTTAGCTCGAATAATGGAGATATATAAAAGCCCCTAGAACTTAAAAATTCATTTTTACATACATTACCTGTTATTTAAGGTATAACAAAGGGTAGGTTTTCTTAAAAAAAAAAAGTGGGGTGGCTGGGGGTGAATATGTGAAAAAATAAAAATTTCAAAATCAACTGAAAATTGCTTCATATAAAATAAAAATCGACGTGTCCGAGAATTTTTCTATAAAATTCATATTTTTTAAGTTCTAGGGGCTTTTATATATCTCCATTATTCGAGCTAAACTGGTAAAACCGCTTAAAGGATTTGTTTTGGGGGTTGCCTAGATTCGATTTTTTCAGATTGGATCCCAGTTCATTTTTTGTGTTGCACAGTGTAATCAGGGGCGTAGCTACCGCGGTATCAGCCGTATCAATGATACGGGGCCCCCGGCTAGGGGGGGGCCCCGATTGGCTTCGACATGCGTAAGCAAAAAACATATTACCCACATGTTAAAAAAATTGAGGCATCAAATTAAATAAATAAATAATGTATTTAATTGTTTATTCTTCGATTTATTAAATTAAAATTTTCCTGAATACCCTCCTGTTCCAACGAGGCCGTTAACTCATACGATATGTTTCTGCCCGCACCTTTCCGCTATGCGTTGTCAGGGCCGGATTTACGAATTTGCCGCCCATGGGCCAAACGCATTATTACCCCGAATATCGAATGACTCAGCGAATAAGCTAGAGTCGCGCCCTTCTACGCAGTGACACACTACGCAGAATAATAGTGTAGTCTGATATAAAATTATCTAATGTATTAAAAAATTTCTCTTCCAACTTTTTATAGTTTTAATTAGTGTATAAATCTGAGTGAAAACAAAAATTCTGCATAAAACGCTCTTGATTTTTTAGCAAAATTTTAACTGGCCTTCAAAATTTGCCGCCCCTAAATATTTGTCGCCCTGGGCCCGGGCCCATGTGGCCCATGCCTAAATCCGGCCCTGTGCGTTGTCTACGGCGCAGTCTGCGCATATTGTTCTGTGCTTCGCCCTGCATACTGAGTCTGCTTTGGGTGTTATTATCGTAGGTTATATTAATGGCAAATTAGAAATAATTATAAGCGTTATAATTATTTCAAATGACTTGCCTTTAATTTTAAAATAGAAACCTTTTAAAAGATGTTGAAGACAGTGGCGTAGCGACAAATTTCGGCCCCCCCCGCGAAAATCCTTACTGGGTCCCCTGATTTCAGGTATTTTTTACATGGTTTTATATTGTAAATAAAAAATAATACATCCGGTGACATGATTTTTAAAATTATTTATAAACGAAAAGTAACAAAAAAATAATTAAAAAAAAAATAAGGTTCTCCACTGTACCTACTTATAAATTATATAAGTAAAATAATAGAAAATAATAACATATTTTTTTAAGATAAAAAAATAACCTTAAACTATAATAATTTTATCAGGCATCCTTGAATAGGTATATTTAGTTAATAATATTTACTCAGTAACTCTATATATTAAACTCTCTATAATATTAAACTAACCAATAATAAAAGAAATACTTTCATGTAAATACTAGACCACTTTGTGCTTACCACAGCTGACTGGCGAGAAACGCATGTAAACCAGTGGAAAAATAAAATAATCAGAAGCAGTCACAAATAAGAACCTACTTGAACCAATACGAATAAAACAAAAACAAACTAACAACTTGTGAATCACAATCGTCAAAATTTTAGGGGTTCGCAAAGAGAACGCTTCAGAACTGTCAGAATAATACGCATAACTAAATGCGCATATCTGTTTAGAAATAGGCGCATGTTTCCAAGTTCTGAATCGTTCCTGCGTAAACCCGCTGTCAATTGTTAAATAAGCGCGATTTTTAAAATTCATCAAAAGGTTCCGTTAGATGTTTTACATTTATGTTGTGATGGTAGGCCAATAATATCAATATTAGTAAATTATGATATTTTTAATTAATCATACATTATTATTCAATTTTTAGTATAAGTAAGATGGAAATAAGTATTTTAATGTTTTGGGGCAAGTATCGGCCGGGCCCCCTACGAGGTTAGGGCCCCCCGCTTGGCGGGCGTTCGCGGTACTGTCGCTACGCCACTGGTTGAAGAACAGTAAATGTCTAAAACCAGATCAATTTTTAAAATTTGTACATAAAAAGCTATGTTTACATGGGTGAATATATTGAGATGTCCCTCAAGTGAAAATGATTATTTTTTTATTTTTGGTTGTTTCACTGTTTGTCTAAAATGGGGTTTTTGGGAAGCCACCAGGTCTAGTAATAACATAAGATAAGTGGTTCTGCACTAATGCAAGAATTTTAAGAAATCATACATTTTTAATATTAGAGCTTCACGGAAGATAGCTTCACGGAGGTTAGGATTTCGTATGTTTTTTTAAACCTTTGTATATTTGAAATAAGTTTTTGTATCTTTTGACACCATAATATTTTTTTTAAATAAAATTGTACATACATAAAATATTTATAAAAAAATCTACTTAATGAGATATTACACTTCACGGTGGATAGGTTTTTAAATAGCAAATTAATGAACTTAAACTTTTGAACTATAAAACAGCAACACTCTCATCTGCATTAATTCTAACTGCACATGCATCTATAATGTCGTAAACGGAGGTTTTTGCTTATTTAATATGATTAATATTGCATAAAATTTAAAGCAAAAAAAAAAACAGATTCACGGAGGATAGAATCAATTTTTGTAACACCTACGTAAATGGTTATAAAAATTAATTCTTTTAATTTTTAATAATATTTTATATTTGTTTCAAATGCTTTGGATGTGTTTAATTTACTTAGTGAACTGATATTTTTAGTATGCTTTTACTACCTCAGATATTTGAAAACATATAGGTTAACCTAGAAAGACACGTCACGGAGGATAGGTTATAGACTTTTAAATCATTGTAAAAAATAATTAAATGCTGTTAAAAATCTGGAACCTGAGCTAATATCTATTTAATTATGAAAGATCAAAACACAATAAAAGTGTAGGTCAAACTCATTTAGATTTATTAAATATCAAGGGGTAACACTATCGGGGGACATTTCGTGAGTTTCACCCACATGTATTATTTATTGAATTATAAAAATTGGTAAATGCAGCCTCGTCCCATCCGTCGAGTGAGTAAGTCGATGTAGCAGAGTCTGAGAGTAAACGTAAAACGATAAAACCATAACCAACAAATAAACCCTCATAGTGCAAACAACTATAGTGTAAAAAATACAGTGAGTACAGACTACTCTACGGTCAATAATTAGTTAAGGGCCAAGTGAAAAGTAAGAGTGAAATGACAAGTGCAAACGAACATAGTGAAACGGTCAAAAGAGTTAAGTGTTAAGTGACAAGAAAGAGTTAAGTGACAAGTGTCAGTGCCTGAGCGGTCGCACCATCTGTGAACAGGACGATTTCCACTGGCCAAACAAAAGAGGACATACAAGGGAGGAACAGGCCACCTGCAAATATTTGCTAAGTATCCTCAAAATCATCCGCATGACCTAACACATAATTTGCAAATTAAACTAAACAAGGCACATTGCCTAATCCCTACTAAAAAAACAATAATCATCGGCAACAATAAAATAAAAAGTCAATTTTCCAAGAAAAAAACCAACAGCTGATCGCGTACACACACCAAAGTTGAACAGGGCAATAAAGCTGTCAACATAACAATTCAAGTAAAACAAACCGAGACCAAATAAATTTGACACTTAAGACATAAACAACACATAAACTAAGAAAACATAAACAAAGTAAAAAAAGCACTCTAATCAAACTCCATGGAATTTGTAAACACACTTGACTTTATAGTAAAAGTAAAAAAAATACCCCCCACTGGGAACTGCCTTATCGCAGCGATTGCACATCAGCTGTTCAACACGGTGATAGGTTCGCTATGCGAAACTGAAACAACAGCAGACACTAGACAAATATTGAACAACCACTTACGTAATAACCTAGGAACGTACAGACCCTACATCGAGGACGCAATAAATGAACTAAGCAGTCGTTATGAACACATAAGTGACAAAACAAG